CCCCGCCCCACAAAGGATGACCTTTCCCGCCGGCCGGGCTGCGAACAAAAGGGCGACTCCTGAAAATGGAAAAGGAAAAAAGGAAAAGTGGGCAGGGCTCTGGCGTCCCGTCCCGTTCCGCCCCTGGAAGAAGGGCTGAGGGGGGAGGAGTGGGATGAAAGTCTCCCGTCTAGTGGGCTCCACGTCAGCAGCGGGGTGCGCGCGGCCCGCGGCCCGCGGCCGGTCGGGGAAACGGAATCGTCGAGGATCAGCGCGGACAAAGCGCGTTCGACAGCAAGAGTCTCTTTGAGAGCTGTGCGGAGCTGCGGCCGCTCAATCTGAATACTTTTTCTGCAATGTGCCGCTCCGACCATCGCGCGCGCGGCCGGCCCAACACGCACACACAACAGTGGATTTGGACGGATGAACTTTGAGTCAGGTGGCGCTGCCGGCGCGGTGGCTCACTCTTGCAGCCCTCCTTGGCGCCCTCTCCTACCCCTCACGCGCACACTCGGTTTGGCAAATTGCGTTTTCGTGTGGTTAGCCGGCGGCCTGCCGAACGTAGAAGGAACCGAGGGGGTTGTGGCGGGGGGGAGCGGGCTGGAAGGGGTAGGCTGCAGGCCGAGGGTGGAGCGGCGCGCGCCTCGAATACAAAAGGCTTCACCCCAGACCGCTTCATCCCGCCTCATCGACGTCGTTGGTAATCGGTAGTTGTGCCCCGGCGGTGGTCACTGTCCTTCCCTTTTCGGAGGTCAAGTTGGCACAGACGTAAAAAGCCAAAAACAAAAAAACAACACACTTTTCAAGAAATTCAAGAGCAGGTGCGTAGTTGGTGAAATTGCGAATTTCCACCCTCGTGGGCACGAGGACACATTTTAGGTAGTATTCTCGGCAAGGTCCGGGCGGGATGTCGTCTCTGACTGTCCGAAAATCGGACTAATTTCAGTACAGAATATTTTTACAAGGAGCACTACTTGTACCTTAAGTACTGTACACTCAGTCAGTCCAAATGTGTACATGTTCTTGTGTACATGGCATGTATACTTTATTCCATGTTTAGTGCCAGCTTAAGGGTTGCCTCCTCAGCCACTCTCTCCCTGCCCCCGTCTCTCGTCCTGCCGTCTGTCTGCAAAAAAGTATGCTAATAAAGCTGCCATCTCCCTCCCCAGCCTGGTCAGGGCGCAAGTTTAAGAGAAAAGGGCTGGAATTTAGCCCTCCATGGCGGAATTAAGTGGGGTGGTGAGGGCAGCGGAACCCCCGGCCGCCCCCG